AATAAAAGGTTGTAAAAAGCTATGACTTTACCGTGGTGCTATAAACAATATTGTGACAGTGATTGTTAACAGTAATTTACAAGTGCAATCATAAAAAAGAGTGATTATAGAATAATTGTAAAGATAACTACTTTAATAATTAAGAACAATAGCACAAAGTTCACAAAATGACAGTTTACAGAGAGTGTCTGTAAACCTAAATTGCACAGGTATGAAGATAAAATGGAGAGAAAAAAAATGGGAGTTGGAATTTCATAGATCTCATCATTTTCTCCAGCCCCAGTACTTGCAAAATTGTTCAATGCATTTTTCCAGGATGAAATGTTCTTTGCTTTGAAGGACTATTAATAACATGATACATTACATAAATTACTTTCTCTAAGAAGATTACACTGAGTCAAGTTCTTATATATTGGCTAAGAGCTTTAGTAAACAGAACTTTCAGGGGAATTCCGTCAAAATATCAATGAAAATAAAATTAGCCTATCACTTCATTATCACCAGAGCTTGCTGCTCTGAATGATGTACAGTAATTATAACCAAGCCAATGGAAAAGGGATTTTGAACAATTACATTCATTGCCATGTCTCACCCCTCTTCACAGTGTCTGGCTCATATCAGCACTCCATAAGTACAAAGTTGTGCTGCAAATGAGGAAATATTCAATAATGAAAAGTAAGTTATGTTGAAGTTGAGAATTCGGGCTAAGTACGAGTTAGTCACATATATAGCAGATAATGTTCTAACCAGAGAAATTATATGTACCAAGATTTTGGAGGCAAGAAAACGCTTAGGAAGTTCATGTAATTAAATGAAACTGTTTATAGCTAGACTAGAGACACCAGGAGCATCAGCCTAGAAAGGTAGTCTAGGGTCATATCCTTAGAGGGTCTTTTGGACCACAGTAAGGATTTTGTGTTTTACCCTCCGAGCTTGGGAATCTTTCCAAGTATTTTGAACAAGAAAATTCATTATGCTTCGTTCTAAGAAGGGACTGCTCAAGGTATCATTTCGAAATTAAACAATTACACTCCAAGGTTAAAAGTACTTTTTGATGCCAAATGTTATCATCATCAATGCATTCATTTCAGTTGATGTGTAATTCTTATTTAATGTAAAATAAATTGAAGACATCAAGCCATGCACATGGGCTTCTGGAATGTGTATCTCTGATATTTGTGGGTCATAGTTGGAATTCAAATTTAGAATCTCTCCTCTGGAATTTTAATAATTGCAAAGTTTGCCATAAGCTTAGTGAGATGTTTTATTAGTGTCACCTAAATGAATATGAAACATAAAACTGGATATTAATTAAACAGCTACTGAAACCCTTTGTGTAGTGAGCACTGGGAATTGAAGAGTTTTGTTTTTTTCCCCCCTATTGTGAGTCTAGTCTTAGGGTTATTGTCTTCTATTTGAGAGCTAGTTAAGGGGGTGTTTCTGTTCGTTTTTAAGAGACAATACAAGTACCTATTTTTAAACAGAATCACACCAAAATTAAACAAAGGAGGTTTCTTGCTATAATCACAGCTTTTAGCAAATGATTACAAGTATTCATCATTTATTCTTGCTATAAAAAGATATCAAAATGCTAAGAATATATATTGAGCAGTGTATCTAATTTGGGTCTAGCATTGAAAGGTCTCAGTAGCTGCCAATCCCTCTTAATTCAAATTGCATCATTTCCTTGCACACCTCTTCCTGAAGCAGAGTTGATGAGGGCACAGGCTTCAAAATCAAGCTGACCTGGATTTACAACTTGGCACAGCCGTTTTTAGGGCCTGTGTACCTTCAAGGATGCTACTTAATTTCAGAGTCCCAGGTTTCTCATCCGAAAAATAGAAATATTTTAATCACAGGCTTGTTATGACTCTTAATAATGAAAACTTTTCTATATTGCTTAATATATAATTCACCTTTCATATAGAACACCTTAATAAATAGTCACTATCATGAGAAATACGGAATTGCATAATCTTCTTTTCATATCTTTGGATAATTCAGCCTCTATTTGTAGACACTGAGTGTTTTTATCACATTTTCTTTCTGTTTATATTTATACTTTCTGTGGGTATGATTTCTATGTGTAAGCACCTTGCTTCTTACTGAGATGACGAATTACCTGGTCTTTCCAGGAAAGGGTTTCTCTCACTCAACAATAAGAAGAAAGTAATTATTAATTAATTAATAATTATTAATAATAATTAATAATAAATATCATTATTTCTAATGATAAGAATTACAGTTTACAGAATGTTCATAAATATAAAGAATACAAGAAAAAAAGAGGAAATATAAGGGTAAGTTATAACATATATCTGTCTTTTTATCTCATTTTTTAATCTTAAATATAAATTTATCTGTAATTAGAATTATTTTTCAGAAACTACTTTAAACAGTTTAATCACAATTTGTAATAATGCAATTGAAAATATTTTATGCTTTTATCTGCTCTTCAACTTTGAAAGTAAAATATCAGGTATTTTTGACTCTATTTTATAAGACGGAATCAAGGATAAGTCAGTTTAAATAAGAAGCCCATCATATACCTGGAGAAAACTCTAATTCAAAAAGACACATACTCCCCAATGTTCATAGCAGCAATATTTACAATAGCCAAAACATGGAAGCAGCCTAAATGTCCATCAACAGATGACTGGATAAATAAGATGTGAGATATAGATATATATACACACATACACACACACAACATATATACACATATACGTATACACACACACACAATGGAATACTACTCAGCGATAACAAAGAATGAAATTATGCCATTTGCAGTAACATAGATGAACCTAGAGATGATCATACTAAGTGAAGTAAATAAGACAAAGACAAATATCAAATGATATCACTTATATGTGGTAGATTCTAATGACACAGATGAACTTATTTTCAAAACAGAAACAAACTCACAGACATAGAAAACAAACTGATGGTTACCAAAAGAGAAAAGAGGGGAGGGATAAACTGGGAGTTTCAGATTAGCAGATACAAACTATTACATATAAAATAGATAAACAACAAGGTTCTACTGTATAGCACAGGGAATATATTCAATAACTTATAATAACCTATAATGAAAAAGAGTATGTATAACTGAATCACTATGCTGTACACTAGAAACTAAAATAACATTGCCAATCAACTTTAATTTTTTTTTAATTTTAAACAAAGTAAAATAAAATAAATAGCCCATGTTCAAACAGCTGGTAATGAATCTTAATCACATTGTTTAATCTAAAAATCAAATGTACTCTCCAAATACCATACCACTTTACATGTCAGATTAATGTACTAATAATCTTATATAAAGAAAATGAGAAGTCTAAACCAAACACCAAAGCTAAAAAAAAAACAACTGTAGAAATTCTCAGGAGAAGTTTAAGTCACTAAAGTAGCAGATGATGCATTTCAGCCCTGATCCAGGTTAAAAATGAGGAAGTATCTATAACCTTTTTTTCCTTTTAACCTCCAACACGTCTTGAAGAGTGAAAATCTATCATCTTACAGTTTACTGAGAAGACTGTTACGTTTTCTCTCACTGAATGAGGCAGGATTGAGAGCCATAGACCTGGGGATATTTTTTTAAAATAATTCTTAGAGAAAGAAAAAGAATCCAATGAGAAGCTAATGATAGGTGGAGGCAAGTTTTTGGCACAGGGGTGGATATAAGGTGATTGGACTTGAAGAAACAGGATAGAAGAGAGAAACTTGAATGAAATCTGACTAAAATATAGGGAGGAAATTTCCTTGAATTATGGGGAGAAAATCAATTCAGATCTCAATTTATGTCTTTCGCTCCTAATTTATTGTGTCAAAATCTGTAATGCTCCTGGTAAGCAGAATAACAGTACCCTCAAACACCCATGTCATCATCCCCAGAAGCTATGAATTAATATGCTATCTTACTTGGCAAAAGGGGCTTTGGAAATGAGACTAAATGTCTGGACCTTGAGCAGGGAAGATTATACTGGATTATCCAGTTGGGCCAAATTTAATCACGTTGAGTCCTTAAAAGCAGAGAGACATCCAGGCTGGGTCTGAGAGGGAGATGTAACTATGGAAGAAGAATCAGAGAGCTGCAACTTTGCTGGCTTTCAAGACGGTGGAAGGGGCCATGAGCCATGGAGGAATGTGGATGCCCTCTAAAAGACTGAAATAGTCAGAGATTCTCCCCTAACACCTCCAGAAACAAACACAGCCCTACAGACAACGTGAGCCATGTCAGATTTCTAACATTCAGAACTGCGAGGTATTAAATTTGTGTTGCTTGTAAGCCACCACATTTGTGGTAATTTGTTATGGCGGCCATAGAAAATGGATACAAGTTTGTCTGTCTTCATCCAGCCTGCGTTGTGGTCTCCTACCACCTACAGCAGCAGTCTTTCATGACAGCTTTGGGAACACTCTCCCCTTTGATAATGTGAGGACAGTTCCAGATTCAAAATGGAATACATTATTTTAGGGAGAATGTGGATGCCAGCACAAGAATCCTATCCTATGGAGGAGGAAAGGGGGAAGCGTTGCTGGGAAAACAAACAGATGGAAGTCAGAGAAGACATAGAAATAAATAAGCCCAATGAGAAGAATATGTGCGATTAAAAAAAAAGACATGTTTGTGAATGATCATATGGAGAGAGTCATCTTAAGACCCTAGGAATAAATTAAATTGTGTAATAAATTCTCTTACAAAGAGAAACACCACTTTTTGGAAAAGATAAGGTACTTTTGGCAATCCAATCCATCCATTGCATGAAGAGGTCCTATATTTTTTATATTTACTATAGTAAATATAAAAAGCAATTAGCTGTAGGCCACTAAACTTTAAGTCAGCTTTCTTAGATACCAGCTCCCTATATATTTTTAAAATTTTCCTTCTAGTTTTATTGAGATGTAATTGATATATGCCACTGTAAATAGATATATATATTTTGTTTGTTTGTTTTTGAGGAGGAAGGTAATTAGGTTTTATTTTCTTTTTTTGATGGAGGTACTGGGGATCGAACCCAGGAGATTATGCTTGCGAGGCACACACTCTACCACTGAGCTATACCCTCCTTCCCTCTTAGATACCAGCACCTCATGATATGCAGATTTCAATATATCATGAATAGCTGTTATGAGTTTAAAAATTTTTGATATCATACAACCACAAAGCAGCCTAAATCAGCATTACATGTGTTCTATTTCTCCCCAAATCCAGAACACATGGACAAATGTTATTAATTCCCATAGCATTGAACAATGATAAAAAATTGTATCTACCAATGGGAAAGTAAACTTCATTAATATTTCAAATGTCATTGTTTATTTATCAAAATTTCTCTATATTTCTTACAACCTTCTGTGAATTTTTTTTCAGAGAGGTATTTTCTGTGTTAATGGATATGATTCATACATATGGTTCATACACTGAGTTTGAGATATTGTCAAGGGTTAGGTTAAAGATTTATGAAGCCATAAACTTGACATTGACACATTTCACTATATTTTTATTTTATATTGATATAAAGACAAAAAGATAAAGGTAAGAAAAAAATTACCATTAGACAATAATGGAGAGAATGACATTTCAGTTACAACCCTCCCCTCTGACACAGCCCCTCCCCCAAACACTGACTGGATAACTGACCAATCCAGGACGTCAGTTGCTGGCTGGGTTCGAGATGGACTGTTGGGGTGTCCCCTGGGGCTTGCTGTGGCTGGTGGATCCACAGTAACTGGGCAGAGCCCTTAGTGGGTCAGTGCCATGGAGGGGCTGCTGTCCTCTGTGGAGCTTGGCTCTAGGCTGATCCTTAGGAAGCTGAGTGTGGTCCTGGTGTTGCTGCTGCCCAGTGGCCTGTGTTCTCAGTTCACATTCCAGAGCCTCCAATGGGAGACAGTGTTGAGTCTGCCTGTCCTCAGCTGATTAGTGGGTGTCTTATTTACTTTCAGATTTGTTCAGTCTGTTAGAAGTCACCTTTATAGAAGACATGAAAAGCAGCTGGCAGAAACTCTGGCTGCACAGATTGAGGAGAAATGCCACCTCATTGACAAGTTTTGTGCTGCTAAAAAGGAGTATGCCAGGATGGAGACATCTGAACAGAATGCCAGGCTAAAGGAGTCAGTAAATATACCCAGCCTCGCTGACACTTTCAGAATGGTAATGAGTGTCAACTTGAGTTTGAGGAAGGAACACAACTCTCTTGTCCAAGAACTAAAGGGAGATCCCTGCAGTCGAAATAAGAAGAGATGGTGGAGATGCTAAAATTGTACAAGTTCCTGGAAGAGGTCATGAGAGTCACCACATCACAAGGGGCTTTTACCACCAAGCCAGGAGACCAGGAGCCAAGCCCTGATGGTCTGTTTCCCAGGAGTGGGCCTGGGTATTAAAACCGTGCTGTTCCCTCCCCTTGACTCAGGCCTCCCAAACTGCCAGTCTGCATTCACTCAGTCAGATCTCCACCTGAGCTGCACTGAGGCCAGTGGATGGAGGGGAAATCCCATCCTTTGGACCAGAGTTCCCCCAGCTTTACCATTGAACGTTTTCACAGTCAACTTCTCCATCTAAAATGTATTGGAATTCCCAAATCACACCAAGAAATGTGGGACTTTCTCAATATTCACAGAATGCTTGGATTATCTCTAAGTAACAATGAAAGAAATGTATTTAAGAGACTAAATTGTTACTCAGCTTGAATCTTCATTAAGCCACATTTCTCAAGATGGTTTTGGTAACTATTATACCTCAATTGTATAAGAGAACTGTATATATAGTTTTCTCTGTACAAATATTGCATTATAATTTGGTAACATATGTAGTTTATCATTATAGACTTTTAGTTGGCCATAGCATTTTATCTTGTGCCTTGGCCTGGGAGATATTCCTTTGCTGCCTCATATTGTTTATCTTTCTGTGTGTTTGTGGAATACAATTCACATGCTTTGGGATTATTGTTCTCTTATTTCTGGTATCTATCCCCTGGTGAATGAGGCTGGGCTAGAAGCTTATGCAGGTTTCCTGGCAGGAGGAGTCAGTGCCTGCCCACTGCTGGGTGAAGCTTGATCCTGGACTTCTGGTGGGTAGGGCTGTGTCTAGAGGCCTCTGTGGCTTAGGAAGTCTGATGATGGGTGTGGCTGTGTTCCCACCCTGTGTGTTGTTTGGCTTGAGGATTCCCTACAGGCTGTTGGGTGGGGCCAGGTCTTGGTGCTAATGATCCAGTCAAGATGTCAGCCTCCAAGAAAGCTCATGTAGATTAACACTCCCGGAATGTCCACCGCCAGCTTTTATGTCCCCTGAGTGAGCCGCAGCCATCCCCGACATCCCCAGGAGACCTTCCAAATCCAGCAGGCAGGTCTGGCCCAGGTTCCTATGAAATCACTGCCTCTGACCTTGGACCTGGTGCATCTGAGTTTCCCTGTACACCTCCCATGTGAATGGAGTCTCCATTTCCCCCTGTCCTGTGAGGCTCCCAGAGCCAAGCCACCCTGGCCTTCAAAACCAGATGTCCTGGGGTCTCCTTCTCTTCCTAATGCTGGGACCCAAGCTGAGGAGACTGATGTGGGGCTTAGAGCTCTCATTCCTGTGGGAGGGCCTCTGCAGCTTAACAAATCTTCACCTGTGGGGTATGGGCCCAATTATATCGTAAGCACGTCCCTCC